AAACAACAGAACAGAGAAAGAAAAGACACGGATCATCAATCGATAAACCAAGAAGGAAGGCGGCACAAGCGGGACACCAGCCGCTTATAGCGATGTGCCGCGGTAGCCAGGCGGGGGAGGTGAGTCGAGCATAAGCAAAAGCATGCGTGGAAAGAGGGGATGGAGGGGCTTCGCCCGACAACAACAATAGCAGGGCAGGGCAGAGGGGGCGGGCCAGCTGACCGCACCATAGGGGACAAATCGGCCAAGACCATTCCAGCAAGCGGCGATAGGGGAAACGGGCCAGGACAATTGCGCGGCTCGCTGAATGATGGCGCTGGCCGGGTGGCGGAATTGGCTGCTGCGGAATTGGCCTGCTGCCGAGCAACGGTATAAGAGCAGTGCATTTGTTGTGTGTTGCAATCGCGATTGGGGCCACCGGGGAGGGACTGCGGGGCATGCTACTGCTGCTGGCCGAAAAGTAACACGCACCAGCCGCCGTGGTTGTTGCCATGATCAAATAAGGGATTGGCCAGTGCTTTGCCATCACCCGCTCCCCCCCCCTTCTGGCGCAGTACGTTGAGGGCAGTGGGCCAGACACTGCCGTGAATCGTTTGAACAACGCATTGGCTCAATGCGCCAGGCACTGCCGTGAACCACTTGAACAACGTATTGGTGTGGTGGGCCAGACATTGCGTGGACCACTTGAACAACGCATTGGTGCAATGCGCCAGGCGCTGGTTGAACTGCTTGAGCAACACATTGGTGCAATGCGCCAGGCGCTGGTTGAACTGCTTGAGCAACACATTGGTGCAATGCGCGGGAGGCGCGGGGGCGTGTCTTGGCGTCAACAACACCGGGCTTTTGCAAGGTACACTGTTGCGGCTGCAGACAAAGCCTTCTTATCCGGACACCAGGGCGGGTTGCTGGCCGCAGGAAGCGGGTGTGGCCACAGGGGCGGCGGCCACTGCATGAGGCGGAGGGGGTCTGGTCGGTTACCAAGGGGGGAGGGGGATGTCCTGGGTGTGCATTTGTCCCTCCTCCGGTTCACAATTGAAGGCAAGGGTACCTACTCCTCGCAGCAGGCGAATGGTGACTGCCGTATCTGGATACGTTGGCGGGCGGCGGGCCGGGGGAGGGCAGCAGCAGCGGCGGCGGCAACAATGGCCAGGCGATAGAGACCACTATGCTGCTGGGCGAACGATCCGGGCGGGCAAGAAAGAGGGCGGAAGCAAGGAGGAAAGGGTTGGAGTATACAAAGGAAGCGGGAAAGCAAGAAGAGAGAGGCCTAACCACCACCGCCACGGGGGGGGGGCAAGGCCCGCCTGTCTGCCTGCGCACTGCTGGCTGCTTCTGCGTGCGTGCGTGCGCGGGGCGGGCGGGGGATGGCAGGGCGTGCCTGATTGCACGCATGCTCCCCAACTGGGCTGGAAAGATATTGAGCAGCTTCCTGTGCATGTCGTTCCCTAAAAGTGGGTGCGGAGCCAGCGGGCAGGGGGCTGCCGGCTCCCACCACCCCCGCCCGGCCCGGGCCATGTCCTCTGCTGATACAGCGCCGTAGATCCCTCTGCTTCCCCTGGTCCACTCACAACAGCCGGGCCCATCAGCGGAGTGGCAGCTGGGCCATTCGCCTTCCCCAGGGCCGCCGAATTCTCTGATTCGCAGGCCAGGAAAAGCACGTAAATCTCGCCAGGTGGCGGGGGGCGGCCGGTGGATGCCTGTCTGTGGGTGCCTGCCTCTGGATGCCCGTCTGCTTGCCTCTGGGCGCCCCCCCCCAGGGCCACTACACGGCTCGCCTTGTCGGTCTCCGCCCAGCGCAAAACGTGCATGCGCGTAGATTGTCTTGGATCGCCACATGGGGCTTTTATGCCGTGTATCAATTCGCACCCGCCTTCCACATCCCTACGTCATTCCGTGTATCATCTAGCTCCACGCCCCACTCACTGCGCCCAGTTCTCCTGCGGTAAGCCTTTGCAGCTCCCCCCCACTCTTCTTCGATCAGCTCACTCCCCCCGCCCTAGGCCGCCCCCCCCGCGCTCAGCCTGTTCTGGCTGCAGGCTGCGGCGTTCACAAGCAGGTCTGGCCTTTGGAAATCCCCTCTCACCGGCGCCCGCCCACTTCCCTTGTTCTTTCGCGCATTTCAAAAATAGAGCGGATTCTCGCTTCCGTGCATGAGCTGCATCGGCAACAAGGAGTCCGTCCACCCAGCCTATCACTGCCGTTACATCCTCTACTGGGCGCGCCGCACCCATCCCGGCCGATTATCTGCCCGCCATACAGCTGCATTCTACCTGCCCCACCAGGCAGCTGCATTCTACCTGCTCCACTAGGCACTTGTGAATTGACTAGTAACGAAAGAGCAAAGTTAACGTGCCACAAGTAACATGGGTGGTCTTTGGGGTGTCAGCTTCTCCCCGCATCGGCGCGAGATGAGATCACAGTCACACGAGAAGCGGGGAGTCGATGACCGCAAATCCCGCCGCCACGCCGCCCTCCCTGACGTCGGACGCCTTGGTACGCAGCAGATGCCCGCCATGGCGATTGACCACAGTGCGCCCTTCACGATCGCTACAAGCAAACAAATAATCCGACATGAGTAGCGTGCATCTCCGACGTCAGACCATGCCTTATTTCCCTATGCACAGCGATGATCCATGCCACCCCCTACCCCTTACCTTACAAAGATCCCATAGATACCGAGCTCGCTGACCACCTCGCACGGAACCAGCTGGCCGTTGCGCAAAAGCATGCTGTTGAATCCCGGCGCACGGATCAGGTCCATGAGAATGTACCCCTTCCTCTCCTCCTCCGTGAGCTGGCCGAGGAGCCGGGGAATATCGGCGCCATACGTGTTGTACCCTACATATACATTATCATCAGCGTCCTGCAGCCTGCCCCTTCCTATATCCAGCACTCTGCAGCCTGCCTCTCATGTCCAATGCTCGGTGCACGTACCTCCGCCCTCGCGCTGTGGCTTGACCACATAGCGATCCGGGTCGCTGATCGCCATCTCGCATGCCTGCAGCCCCTCCTTGCTACCATCCAAGGGGTACAGCCCAACAAAGCACTGGCGGACCTGGGCCGCCGCCTCCTGATCATCAATGAACCGCTCGACGACGCCAGGCTGGGCCAGCACCTGCTGGATCTTCTTGCACCCGGCCAAGTGGTAGGCCAGGCTGGGGATGGGAATGGCTCGGCTCCGCTCAATAAGCCACCGACCATCCCACTCTGCATCGGTGGAAAAGTCCGTTGGCGCATACCCAGACCGATAGTATGCAACCGCAACTTCTTTGTCACCCCTACAATAGAGCGTCACCCAGAATAAGCCCCCGCGCCACGTATCCCGCCCTGCTCTGCCCGACCAGCTTTTCAGCGGAGCAATGGCCACTTACACAAACAACCGATTGTCGTCGCGAATGACGCCCCTTTCCAGCATCTCTGCAAACGTCAGCCGCTCCACCGCAATCCCATGCCTACCAAGCGATCAGAATGACCAGTTAGTCCGAAGGGGAGGGGCCCGTCATAACCCATTGGTCCACAATTCACACAAACCCAACGTCCATTGTTACGTACTTTTCCCAAAGTCTCCTTTCGACCCAGCGCTGGTCGTAGACATTGCGTTCGCCCGGCTGGACAACCATTACCACCACCGCCCTACACTTTACACCTAGAGTTCAGCAAAATGGTCACATACATATCTCGCCCTTTAAGGGGAGAATACAAAAGTGGGCGGGAGGTTGTACGTACTCTGGGCTGCCGTATAGCGCAAATCCGGCTGCAATCCCATCGCCAATGCTAGTCAGGGATTCGTTTGCTGGCAACTGCTCCGGCTCGATTGTGCCAGATTCCAGCAGACCCTGGTAGCCGGTCCGTGCCAGCAGGAACCTATGGAGGTCGCCAGTAATAGCGGACAGTGCCGCAAAGGACGCGGCTATCGTATTGAACTCGACCTGCTTTGCCCGAGGAGCCGCAGCGGTATCACCCTCTGGCGCATGGATCAAGTAGTCGGAGCGGTGGATCCCGACCACGCCCGGCTTCTCAATCCCCAGCTCATATTGCTTCATATACATGGCGAATATCCGCGCCGTAAACTCATCGGCCGTCCCCAGGCTCCGCAGCGTATCCACCAAAAACCCATGGTCGCGTGAAATACGCTCAAATAGCAGGTTCAGCCGTGGCTGCAAATCGACCACCCGCGAAAACTCGCGCCGCGGAATAGGACTTGGCCCCAGAGATACTGGTGCGGCCATTAACAGGCTGCCCGCATCGGGGGCTCGTAGCACCAGGCCGTGCGTCGCTTGCCAGTCCGTTGCAAGCTCCCTGTACGCTTCCACCTTGGCTGCATCCTGCGTGTATTCTGGCCGCCCGGCCAGGAACTCGCCCGTAGTTGTTGCTGAGGCCCAATTACCCGTCGACATTTCCAAAGACCCCAAAGTTGTAATGACAAAAAGCAAGAAGAGAAGGAAGGCAGGGGAGGAGCCAGCACAAAAATGACGGAACTCCCCTCTCTGCGCCCGTATTTGTCAGCCATACCGTGAAAGTGCCACTGCTGACGTCGGGTAAAGGCATGCTGGATCGGCTTGGTTCTGGCATCTTCACAGGGCCCTCACCCCTTCTTCCAAAAAGAGGATCAACCGCCAGCAGCATCAAGCAGCAAAAAAAAAAGGCAAAAAGATGCGTTGGCCGGGAATCGAACCCGGGGCTCCTGCATGGCAAGCAGAAATTTTACCACTAAACCACCAACGCCTGATTGCCAAGCGGACTAATCGCTCAACTTCTGAAACACAAAAATTGCTGGGCCTAGTCTACCGGAACGCCAGGCATTGTATTTTTTTGTTTGGGACTGAAAGCGGCAAGAGTACATGCTTTGTCAGTAGCCTTCAGCGACATGGCGTATGCCTGTAGTTTCCGGGGAGGCGTATACAGAAAGCAGGTAAGAGAGGGGGGTTTCAGCTTTTTTTTGCTAAAGGAATGGTGTGGCGCTACCAAGGCACAAACGACATTGTGTCGCAATTTAGAGCAGTGATACTACAATAGCACGGAACATGTATTACAACCAGGGCCGTCTTCATAACTGCCAATTTATTAAGAGCACACACTCCAAAACATGGAATGATGCAATAGAACAGGCGAAAGAACTGG